CGAAATTTAGACATTCTTTTTGGGTACCGGCGTGATAAAAGCAGTTTGGAATGCAATTCTGAGTAAGGCACAGGTTGAGCAGGTTGGTAAAATCAGGGAGGAGGGGTGCTGCACCATCTTTGAGCACCACAGGCGGCAGTCCATTAGGATCGCATGCTTTATTAGACCGAAGACTGATGAAAGTTTTGAAAATTCTGTGGATCCGTAATTAAATTAGTAACCCACAACAGTATACTGAATATAAGGGTCGCAACTCTTCACTTTTACCCTCCACTCAAAGTGTTCTTCAGGGTGCTAGTCTCCCTGCCCTCAACCTATATTTCTCCCATATCTGATTTTGCTGATTGTTTGCTCACTAGGTATGCCGATGATGTTGTGTATGGCATGAAGTTTTCGAATTCCTCCGTGTACCCCAACTTATGCATAACATTTCCCTGCTCACCGACTGGTCTTCACATTATAACCTTAGAATGAATCCTTCCAAGTGCGAAGACGACTCATTTTCTTTGTTGATGAGTGAAAAATACCTGGATGTGATTAACCCTTGCTAGTATATCATTATCAATGGAGAACAAGTATCCAGAACGTGCTTCGTCGAATACCCTGATGTCATCACTTTCCTCAATCTTTCTTGTTCTCATATCGTTGAGAGATTTCACCTAGCCTAATACAACAAGTAAGTGTCTTTTTTATACATGGAGTAAAAAAGAAAGTAGAGCTTACTTGAGAATCAAAGGGATTTATTCCGGACTTCATCAACATGCTGGCCAAAACGAGATATTTAAGGCATTGTGTTCGTCTTTGACATCCAGATTCATCATAATTCTTGAAAGCTTCAAAAAAATCTGTATGAGATTTGTTATATTCTCCTTCTCTCAAATGCATTTTGCCACCACATTCCCTGATAATTCCCATAATGAGGGGATGAGGTATTGCCGATTTGATATGCAGCGACTGCTCGTAAAGAGCTTTAAGCTTCTTATTGTTCTTCTGTGCTGTATACATTTGAATCTCGAGGGCGTAGATCTCCAAAAGTTGGGTGCCTTTTTTCATGTCATCTTCACCCTCATTTGTTTGACAGGATTCGCGCAGTTCTTTGACAATCCGTTGGAGCTGGATGTAGTCACCCTGTTCCAAGTACAATTTGCCTAGCTTGGTATTTGTTTTGAACCAAAGTCGCTCGTTTTTTGCTTCTTTGAGTGCATCCAAAGTTGTCGTATAGAACTGTTGAAGCAGATCCATTTGCTTGGAGGTCGATACATAATCAAGTATGGAGTTGATGGATTTTTCGGAATAGTTTCGGGTGACAGCAGATTTTATGTAGGTCAGGAGGGTCCTGTAGTTAATCATCATTTCAGAAAACCTTCCCAGCTTGAAGTTGATTTTTATCATTTGTTTCAAGGCACGAAAGCCCCAATCACCTTTGGCACCTGTGGCTTCAATGTCCAGTACCTTTTGAAATTCTTCCAATGCTAAGAGTGGACTTTCTTCTTTTCTAGATTTGGCAGTGTAATATTGATTCTCCAAGTCGACATCTGGCTCAGAGTTATCGTCCGAAGAGTATTCCACTGACAATTCACCATCATCAAACATATCATCATTGAACGACATGTTTTGAAGACGGCGTCCACTACGTGGTCCACAAGTTCAGTTCAGTTCAGTTCAGTTTGCACAGGACAGTAGTGGCC